CTCTCTCTCTCTCTCTCTCTCTCTCTCTCTCTCTCTCTCTCTCTCTCTCTCTCTACTCTCTCTCTCTCTACTCTATCTCTCTCTCTCTCTCTCTCTCTCTCTCTCTCTCTCTCTCTCTCTCTCTCTCTCTCTCTCTCTCTCTTACTTCTCTCTCTCTCTCTCTCAATTCTCTCTCTCACCTCTCTCTCTCACAGCTGCTCTTCATCCGGTCCTATCTCGCTGAGATGCAAGCCAACACGGCCAACGAGCAGGCGAGCGACGAGTCATCGGCGGCGGCAGCAGCAGCGGCGGCGGAGGAGGAGGAAGAGCGCCTCCTGGTGGAGGTGAAGAAGTTTTCGCTCGCGTCGCAGATGATCTGGACGCTGTGGAGCCTCGTGCAGGCCGACATCGCCAAGATCGAGTTCGACTACCTGGTGAGTCATCGCCGTGGAGATCGGGTGCCGGAGTCGTTGCTGTGGAGTTGTCATCGTCGCGAAGATGGAGAGTCGTTGCCGCGGAGATCGCGAGCGGGCACCTTTGCCATTTGCGTTTCCCCGTTTGATTTATTTTAACGACTTCGAGGAAATATACGGGAGGGGGAATGTAAAAATGAACACTGCCCACTGTGGCTGTATGCATCACATTCTAGCGTTGTGTAGGAAAAGAGCAACCCTTGGTAATCTATGCTATTCGAGAAAATAATGCATATTTCGCAAAATAAGCGCTGGCAAGGGTTTTTTTCCGACGCACTTTTTAACATTCTTTTTTATTGCCATTCACCTTCTGTTTCTCACGGCTGCACGTCTGTCTTGCTCCTTGAAAAAAAAAACGTTGGTCATTTTGATTTGACCACTGCCTCTCTTTGACCGCCATTGACACCCACCAGCCTACCACCTCACGTTTATTCCATCTCATAATCTTATTGTAATCGTATCGTAATCTTATAGTTATAGTAATCATATCATAATCTTATGTAATCCGTGTGACTCTATCGTATCGATAGCTAACGACACACTCCCCCGTTTTGCAGAGATACGCGCTCGAGAGGTGGCGCCAGTATCAGCGTGACAAGCGCGTCATCGAGACGGGGCGCTAGCGTTGAGGTCGTCGGATGCGGCAGAGGGCGCCGCTACGGAGGCTTCCCATTTTTTGGCGAGGCGGCGGGGGACGGCATGTGGACGAAGGACTTGCGCACAGATGACGCGAGGTCAGAGGTTACCCCAAGACGATCCATCTAGATCGACAGGATCCGCCAAGCCGCAGTGGTGCGCGCGCACTGGACCACATTGTGCCTGCCCGCCTCACGGATGCTCTTGTGTTTGGCGGGTCGGCGACGCGCATCGCAGGAGAGAGTCAGTCAAGTTCGCCCGCCCGACCGTGACATTTTGTTTGTCGATCGATGTTGTTGTCATTGTTGTTGTTGTTGTTGTTGTCGTTGTTGTTGTTGTTTATCTTAACTGTCAGCTCAAGTCGACGTGTGCTCAAGGAATTTGTCTTCGTGGTTATGTCGCGTTTCCTTGCTGATTGTACAGCGTTGTGAGGTGGGAAGTATTAAGGTGTGCATGCGTGTACGTGCGTGTACGTGCGCGTACGTGCATGTGTGTGCGTGCGTGTACGTGTGTGCGTATACGTGCATGTGTGTACGTGCGTGTGTATGCGTGTACGTGTGTATACGTGCATGTGTGTACGTGCGTGTGTATGCGTGTGTGTAGTACTGTGTACGTATGTGTGTACATGCACGTACGTACGTGTGCCCGTGCCTGAGTGAGTGTACGCTGGCTATATGCCTACTTGTTAGCTAGTGAGTGGGAGTGATGGAGTGGAGATTAATTAATAGTAGCTACTGTTAACACACAGTCTGATAGACTCACGCACCGCAGTTATACAGAGATGCACGCACGCACGCACGCACGCACGCACGCACGCACGCACGCACACATATACGCCGTGCACGTTTGCGTTCTCCCAACGGTACTTTGTTAGAGAGCGAGAAACGCTGCACTTCAAAACATTCAGTCGCGTTGCCATGCCAATCTGCACCCCCCCTCCCGGTGGTATGCCCCCACGCGGCAAACTGACGTTTTATAACGAAAAATAAATTGCGTTTTCTAACGTAATTTTCACTGCAGAGACATTTTACTGGAAACTGGGTTTTTTTTGTCATGATGACGTCAGAGCTTCGCTGTGACGTAATTTTTTATAGCCGGGACCTAATTTTGCCGCGTAACATTTTTGTAAAATTTGTCCGGCGACTGAGGATGTAAGATATTCGTGTCCTGACCAATACTTGAATTATGTCACCATCGTCATCGTCGTCGTCGTCGTTGTTGCTCGTGTCGCGGTGGTCGCTGAGGGTGTGCATTGTGATATTCGCGTGTAATTAATTAATTATAATTATTATTAGTGTGCGGATGATGATGATGATGATGGTAATGTGAGGTAGCGAATGACGTTGCTACCGCTGGAGCAAGCCGCACGTATATATTATAGCTGGTTCGAAAATAGTATTACACGGAAATTAGTATTATAGATATACATAATTATGTAGACTACGTATACATATATAGCCAATATATATATAGGTATATATATGTATATATAATATATATATATATATATATATATATATATATATGTGTAGTATAATATATATAT